CTTTATTGAGTAACTGTGGAATGTACTTAGCATTTCCACTGTATAAGCCCTAAACAACTTCACACAATCTTTCAATCTAGGGGGTTTTGTTTGTTTCTTTTCTTTCTGGAACTCATCTTGTCTGTTCTCTCTCTAACTGATTTCCATCCTGAAAAAGATTACTTAAAGAAGTTCCTGTTCCTTTCCCAAAATGAAAAAGAAACAAACAAATATCCCTTCCTCCAGCCTTTTAGAAATTAATCCATCTTAGTTACCAGATGCTCTCATATAAGAGTACCAGTTCTAATATTTTTAAAAAGCGTTATGACACTTTTCCAGCATTGAATTTTTGTTTCCTCAGTATCATAAGGGGAATTTAAGTAATTATATGAATTCTCATAAACTACATCCTAAAGAAAAGTATAGCCCAGATATAAGGTTTTTTTTTCCTGCTTAAGCTGATAACAATGTCTATTTAATAAGTCTACTGTAAAACCACATTTTTCTCCTACTGTTCCTCCTCTTTTCTTTTTGGTAACATTTGCTCTGAAGATATGAGACAATACACTCAAAGTGAGAACCCTCTTCAGTTTAAAAGACACATTCTGCATTCAAATTGAATGTAAGAATTGCAAAGGCAGTGTGGGATGTATTTGTATTCTTATTTGCATGCCAAAATTCAAATTGTTCTCTTGACTATGGTTTGTACCATAACACTGCTGCAGACACAGTTCCACAGATGTCAGTATTTTCTGAATGAATTTCTTATCTGCATGTTTTGCAGCTGAGGTTTCCTAGATAAAGCAGCCTAAGAAGGGAAAAATGAACCAGAAATTGTAAAGAAGCAGTAATAAAAAGTGTAATACTGAAACAATTTCATCCTGCATAGACTTACTATATGGACAGCTGACTTTGTTTTACCTAGCAAGTTAGAATATGCTAGAGACAGACAATTCAGTTTACAAAAAGTATGAAATTCATCTGCCTTTAAAAAATAAATATGAGATCATTACCAGAAAATATGGAAACTTGCAGTATGTCTATTTCAAAGCTCTGATTGTTTAATTAGCTAAAATATAAAAGATCCATTCTATCGTAGAATGATGATGAAATTTGCTTTTATACGTGAGTAGTTTTGCACTGGGAGAATTAATGAAATACCATCTACAAAGATAGTATGGGGAAAAGACTTTTTTAATAGTTTGAATATTTCCAAAACCTGAAAATTACGTCCTTCTCTACCTACATTTGGAAGCATAACACCTTGCTTATCAAATCTTGTACTCTTATAATGGTAACCACTAGATCACACATACTCTACAACATATCAAAATAGCTGATCTTTTACCAAGTGAGTCTGTTTAAGTTTTAAATGAGGTGTAAACATAGATTAGTTTAGGATATTAGGATCAATTCATTAAGCATTGTGCCTGTTTGTCTAAGCTTCAAAAGAACATTTGAAGAAAATGAGGACTTTCCAGAATGAAACATTTCAGATTATTTCCAAGGAAAATTATTAATTTTTTCATATTTGTAGGCTGTTGAAAAAATCACAAAAGGTTTTTCGAAGCTTGTGGGTTGAAATAAAGGTAGTTTAATAGATAAAACAAAAAGCCACATGCTCAAGCAAAGCCAAGCAAGGAATTCATTCCCTCCTTTCCATGGACAGGCAGGAGGCATTCAACCATCTGCAAGAAAACAGGGCTCCATCAAACATAACCATTGCTTGGGAAAACAAATGCCATCACTCTAAATGTCTTCCCCTTCTTTTTTCCCCCAGCTGTATCAGCTGAGCACGATGCCATACAATATGGAATATCCACAGGAATATCCCTGTGGTCAGTCGGGGTCAGCTGTCCTGGCTGTGTCCCCCCCTACTCCTTGTGCACCCCAGCCCCCTTGCTGGTGGGGTGGGGTGAAAGGCAGAAAGGCCTCAATTTTCTTAGTCCTGCTCAACAGGAACTAAACCATTCCTGAATCATCAACACTGTTTCCAGATGAAATCCAAAACAATGTCCTATATAGAGAGAACATGAGATATATAGAGAGAATGTCCTACTATAGAGAGAACAAAACCTACCCTAGCCAAAACCAGCACATCCTGGAAGAAGCATGATTGGTTTTTCCTCCTTAACTTAAAACCTGTTTTACATGTCCTGCCTTTTGTAGTTCCCTGTTATTCCTGTCCCATTTGCACATGTTTACCCTATCTTACTATTACTCTTCAGGCAGAGAAATAAACAAAATATCCTCTTATTGGGTGAGGATTTTGGAGAGTTTTTGTTTTGTGGGTTTTTTTTATATACACCTTTTGGGAGTATTTGGTGATCTATGCCAAAAAAAAAACCCAAACAAACAAACAAACAAACAAACAATATATATGTATACAGCCTGCAGCCAATTTCAGTACTGAAAGTTTCACAAATTGGGAACAAATTACATTATTCTTATGAAAACAATTAGCAGGAAAATTTAACAAAAGTCATTACTACCATTCCTATTTCTCCTGTGGTTCCTCTTTATGCAATATTTTTCTGATGTTTTCTAAAGATAGATGATAAGTAATAGGCTATATAAACATTTGAATATCACTTCAACATATTGCAATCAACATGAGTACATACCAGCCAAAAAAACAGGGCTCACTTCACAAACACTGGAGATAGAAACAACACAACAAAGTATTAACATTCCAAATAAACAATTATAAAGTGATATTTAGCATTATACATTCCAAGCAAACATGATTCCTAGATAATTTTTTCCAAAATAAGTAATTTATATCTCTTTCTTCCCAATTCAGAATTATGGGCCACATAATTAATTTGTATTTGCTGGCTGAGTTGTAAAAATCTTAAAGTTTCCCCTTCATGAATTTAGTCCCTTTTAACAGTAGATTATACATGAGATTTTCAAATGAAATTATTGCAGCAGCTAATTCTACTAATCGTTTTAGAATAATGATCAGGTAACACCTCTGGAAAACATTGTAGTGTCAGGTATGCTATAATTGCAATACATAAATAGCATAACCATTTTTAGAATACTTTCAAGTACGTAGCTGTGTAAGACAGTCTTTTACGGAACTTTGCAAATGCATGTGATGATAAAAGAGGTACAGTTTTATATTCTGATAGTATGTAAAACAGAAGGCAGTAATAATTTTTTACCCATAAGTAAAATATTTATTTACATTTATTGGGGCTAGAAAGTGTGTGGTGCCCTACTTGCCTTCTTCATGAAGAAAAGTGTAATTGACTTTTTTATTTTCATTTTTGTATACATGAAAGAAATATATAGAAATAGTTTCCTTTTAACAGTAAAAAGTGAATTTGTAATTGGCATTTTTCTTCCTTTAAAGAATTTCTCTTTGTCAACCTTGCATCCACTGTGATGAAAGTTTAGGGGATTTTATGTTTGTGGGATTTTTTTAAAGATCTGATTGAAAAATCTGTAAGTATTTTGGTAGCACAGTACCAGTTTTAATCATCGTGGTTCTTGTGGCAATATACTATTTTCAGTTAATTTTACTCATAAAAGTTACCTTAGTTCAAGAATTGAATAAGTCTATTTGTTGAAATTATATCTCAGAAGGTTTCTGGTTCTGCCCATGTATGTACATAAAAAGGTCAGTGGTGGAGGACTTAGCACATTCACGCAGTCCATGGCTTGTCAAGCCTCAAAGAAGAACCTTGGGCTGACACATTTGGCATGTAAACCCTAATCAGAGGAGTTGCTTTATCTCTGTTTTCTAAAAAAAATCTGACATTCATCTTACGAAGAAACAGAAACACTCAGAATCTGGGGGAAAAAAATAATTTCCATTCTTAGACTTAGTGAATAAGCAGTAAGTTATTAGATCCAGAAGGACCTAATTTCCAATTTTATTTTAAAGTGTGCTTTTAGACAAAAAAGATCTAACCTTTGCATGAGTCAGGAAAGAAAACCACAGAGGATACTACAACTGGATTGAATATACCAGCATTTCTGATACACTGCTATGTTTTCCACCACTTAATTGGACCTGGAAGTCAATAAATAAAGCCTGCACCCCTGTATATAGTGCAGGGCGTCCTGGAGTCCATCTCAGTTTAGAATTGTCACAGGGAAGAGCTAATTATTTTTAACTTTTCTTTTTTTAATATGGGATGAACAGCAGGGGAAAGAAAAACGTAATCAGAAAATCAATTCCATGAAAACTAACTTGTTTCAGATGCCAACATTCCTCCAGCCATTTTCCCAAACACACAATAATTAGTTGTGTGTTTAAATAGTTGTCATTTTAAATAGTTGTCTTTTAAAATGTAACACTGGTCTTTTAAAAGTGTAATAATAATAAATAGTTGCTTTTTAAAATCTCGTCAATGTTAATCTCACAGTGCAAAACTCAGCTTTTGAAGCCAATTAGATCAATTCCCATCTGTGCTGATGTGTTCCTGAAAGCTTTTAAAACATGATGGAAAGTATGACTACATACATAGGACTCAAAAATTAAAAGGGAGAAAACATCCATGACTCTGAAAGGACAGAAAATAGGTACAGTCATTTATGATCCCTTTATTCACAATAAAAGATAATTCACCTGAAGTGTAATAAATAGGTATGAGTTAGATATGAATTAAATATGAGTCTTTCTGGAACATTTCTACGTATCTGAAAATCACTGTGAAATATAAAAATCAAAAAATATATGAGTGAATTTTAGGGGCTTACATTCAGTTATCCCAAAATGCAAATATTCTGGGAAAAGTAAGACTGTAACACTGAGAAAAATTATGTATTTAAATGTGAAATTGTCAATAATTTCTCAACTTGTGCTACAAGATCTCTCATTGAGCTTTTCAGCTAAAATCTTGTTTGATATGTGGAACCTGGCTTGTGATCACACTAGAGATTTGTGATGTTATAACTGACTTAATGGGAATAAAGTCATGCAGATGTTTTCTGAAAGAACATGGAATAGACTCATGGCCCCAGAATAGAAACCATAAAAATTAATCATCTCTTCCTTGTTTTCCTAGCTCCTGTCCGCTACTTTCAATGTGTCTTCCTAAATGGACCTAATGGATTTGGGCTGCAATTTCCTATTAATCCCCCTTCAAACAAGGAAGAAAAGACTCACTCAAAGACTTCCAAGAGAAAGACAAGGAAACCGGGGCAGTAGAGAGACTGAGTCCTGTGATCACTGACATTTTGCACTTTATCTTTTCTGCTGAGGTCCACAGTAGCTACAGTGGTACTTGTCATTGCAAGAACGTGATCCACTTGCACACATGTACCTGGAAAAAGTTTCCATGGGGCAGCGGCAGAACAAGCAGAACAATGAACTGTTTTTAACAAAGATAGAAATGTAAAAGTGCCCAGTTTCTCATGGAAAGGCTGCAATGTTAACAAAGCATTGATGTGACTGTGTGTGTGAGCATGTGTGTGTGTTTTCATGCCTCTTTTGCTCTTGATTTTCTTTACCTACATGCTCAGCATTGAAGTGAGTCTTTTCCATTTAATCTTATCTAAGGAGTGAGAGATTGAATGTAGCTCTTATATCAGCAAGATTGCAAGACTAGCTGCAATCCTAAACCACTTTTTCTTAACGTTCAATCAAATTGCTGACAGGAAAATGCCTCACTAAGTCATGAAAATGTGCTCTGTGACTGGTGCTATTTTTATGTCTCATTGACCAGTGTAGCCTGAAGCTCACACTTACTCGGAGCAGCTCAATACACTACCAGTAAGTTGACTCCACAAGTCATGTTAATGATGAATATTTCTATTTAATCTGGAACTGTAAAAGCACGGGCTCTTTGCCCTGCCTGTTGATGAAATAAAGCTCTTCTCTTCCTAAGGCCCAAAGTGAGAAGAGAAAATGAAACCACATGGCAAAGGTCTGGAAAACCATTGTTTTACCGACATGAAGGTCTGAAGAAACAAATGAAATAATTTTAGTGCTTCCACTTTTCTTCTGTGACTAAATCAGATTGTTTTGCAGCAAAAACCATGTAAATGGACAATATACCAGCCAAAAATTTGCTATTAGCTTAAGCCAGATGAAAAACTAGGATGTGAGATGCCATTCACAAAACTAAAGCAACCCAAATTTCCAGTAATTATGTGAATTTGATGCTATCTCAGATCAGTGAACAACAATGAAAACCAAAGCCTAACTGAAATAAACAAAGAATCAGAAAAAAACGAAACATAAACACACGAAATAATCCAGGTATCTCATTTTACTAGATGAAATGAAAGGACTTCCTCACAGCACACAACTGTAAATGGCTTATAGTAGAACCAAAAGTAGATGTGCTTGTCGTCAACCTTCCTTTGTGCATTTATGTAGGCATAAAGGATTTATTGCCCTAAAAAAGAGACAGGATGGCATTTGATCCATTTAAAGGCACATGAATGAAAATTGGCATCTCACTGGTCTATGTCTGGCAATGTAAATAACGCATTTTTGCAAGCTGCTATTTGTTTGCATTTCCTTACTATATTTTTGCATTTAATCTGGGAAATATACAGCAGTGACCTTAGTTATGTAGTTGCCTGCTGAAGCAACATGATCCTCTTTGTGCAAACCCACTACTTCTGGAGTCTGCACACACCAAAAACTATATATATCACTTTTTTGTTTTTAGTATAGCCCAAGATAGCATTGGCCTCCTCCCTCTTACACTCTCCCTGCCCATTCATCTTACTTTAATAAAATAATTGACTCATATGAGTTTTGGACAACTGATTCTTTGACAGATTAGTGCAATTCAGAAAGCTTTGCTGTTGCACTGCTGGCTCCAGTTGTTACTCTCAGATTACTGGTCATGGCCTCATATGAACTGGATCCTTGGTCTTAATGTGCTCTGATATTGCACAGGTCATGTGCTGCAAAAGCTGTCATTGCAACAAGCAGCTTAGGCAGTGGTGACCAGAAAGAAGTAGAAACAGGTCCTGCTCTAGAAGTAGCATGTAGGTTTATGTAGAATCACACTATAGATATGAGTGTTCATGGTGAATGTCCCCACAGACTCCTGTGAAATCTGCTCTGGAGATAGCACTGTCAACAGAGAATTTTTAACCCTAGAATGATGATTTTCAATTTTCTTTTGGTGTCTCTTTTTATATTTCCAACAACTTTTTCCTTCCCAATTTGTGATTTTGTATACATTATGATGGATGTTATTGCCCTAGGTTTTACTGTGAAAGCTGTCTTGAAAATGAGATTTTAACTTTCTTCAAAATAATTTAATTTAAGATTTTATCTAATGCAAATAATCGAGACAAAAAAATATATATATATACTCTAAGCCTTTTTTTGTCTTCTTTTGGAAATTTTTTTTCTTCATTGTAGTTACCCTTAATTCTTCCTTCCTGTCTGAGATGGGAGATGACAAGAATTTGTTCTGGATCTCATTTCCATAATGTCTCAATTAGATATGTTTCAATGTTAGATATTTGAAAGCTTTGGAAATATAAGCAATTAATATAATTGCGTAAGTGATGTAAAATCAATTCTTTAATTTTGTTCCCTAATCTTAGTCACTGCCTGGAAAAACAGAAAAAAACAGGTCCACTCTCAGAAAGGCAAGCGTTTTTGTCTTTAAATTCACCTGGAAACTTTAAAAAATTTCCTGGTTTGTGTGTTTTTACTCAAATTAGCCTGAAATATTGCAAAAACTTTTGCTGATTGTTATACATTTTGGAAAATAAAAAAATATAAACCCTGTTTCAGTGGCTGTGATATGTTGTTCTGTGAATTCAAAAGTGCAGGACAAGGGTTTATGTATGCAGAGTTTAGAAATGTTCGGATTATAAAGATGCAATTAGGCTGGAAAAATTACCCATCCAGCATTATATTTACTCCTAATGGGCTTTTAGCAATACTTAGCCAGCTTTTTTACACATTTTATTGATTACACTCTGACATATGGAAAGCTAAATTGTTGCTGCAGTCATTCAAGGTACAACTTCATCTACACCAAACCATTTATGTTCATCAAAGTGCTTATTTACAATACAACTGCACAACCAGTACAGACAAAGCCGTGATCTCCAATGACAAGTTTGCAGTTCAGACAATAAGGAAAATGGCCACCAAGAAACTGAGAGTGTAAAAAATGGTGATATTCCCAACTAAACCCCACAGGAACTATGGCTTGCCTATATTAGCAATGGTTAAGGCAGATGAGCTGGTGTGGGAAACAGACTACAGCCTAGAGGTGATGCAACTGCAGTTGCTCAGCTCTGCACTGGGGTTCAAGAGTTTTTGCCCTGCAGAATTTGGTGAGCTATCCCAAATGTGAGGTGTGTCACTCAGCAGTCTTTCTGCACAATTTTCTCTGAGGTGCTAAAATCCTGATGAAGTCAATGGGAGCAGTCAATTTCCAGCAAGAGCAGTGAGAAAAGTTTTACACTGCTGCCTGATTCACTTCACTCTTGCTGGTGCAGCCCTCAGACCCCATCCCCAGCCCTCAGTCCCTGTTCAGTTTCACACTTCTACCCATGTCACAGCTGGAGTCCAGTTGCATCCATTTTAAAACCTGCCTGCAAAACGGAGCTTTTCCAATGGCTCATTTCTATTGCACCAGTTAGTGAAGGGGTGCTCAGAATGTCTGGGTAAGAAGAGTTAGTCTTCTTTAGTGATTAACTGTGCTGGTGCACAGCACTGCAGGTGCCCAGCTGCTGGTGGGGCTGCAGGGTGACCTCTGTAAGGAGCACCCTGGGCTGGACATGGCCAGTTCCAGACGGCTCCAAGGCACAGGGCACAGCCAAGCCCTGCTGCCATGGTGGTGGTGTCTCAGGGAAGGCATTTGTAAGGAAGGTTTGAAAATGCCACAGAGAGAGAGAGGAGAAACAAAAAGACTGAGAAGCAGAAGATGGAACACCCAGGTCAGAAGATGAGGAGGAAGAAGAGCTGCTCCACACCAAGGCAGAGATTTCCCTACAGTCTGTGAACCAACCATGGCAGAGCAGGTTAAAGTCTGAGAAGAGCAAAGCAGTGAAGAGGAACCACCGTGGGCCAACTATTACTGACAGTGACTGGTGTGAAGGAGTGACTTTAAGCTCGAGAAAGGGGGAGGAAAGATGTTAATTTAATGTTTGCCTATCTGTTTCCCAATATCCAAATCATGAAATCATACATTTTTGTGAGCTTATTTCCCCTAGTCTTCTTTGCTCACAACAGTAATTAGTAAACAATCTGTCACTCTTCAGCTCGACCCATGAGCTTTCCCATTCTTGTTCTTCCCATTTTCTCTCCCTGAGGGCAGGAGTGAGCAGCTGGGTGGAGGTTAGGCTGTTAACCACGGCTGACCCACCACAGCTGGTTGTTACACAGATCCTATACATGTCCTACTAAAAATCAACAAAATTCTATTTGTCCCACACTTAGGGTCACCACTTAGAACACAAGACAGAACATATGTAAATCGTATATTGCCTCAAAAATTTATCCCACCAATTCCCAACTCTAAAACTTCACAGCTAGATTTTTTTTATACACAGCCATAAACTACTTAGTGCATTCTTGTATAGATGCCAAATTCTCCATGTTAAAAACTCTAAGACAACATAATAGAAGTGCAGTAAGCACAGTTTTAGAGAGATGTCTTTATCTGCTAGGACACAGGCACTCAGGAGAGCAGCTGAAACAGTTTTCCCTTTCCTGTCTTAAAATTTTTCTTCACCACACAGTATAGCAAAAAATGAGAGACTTACCCCTTTAGGGAGAACACTGGTCCTTTAAACTGCTTTGAACTTAAGACAGTCAACATCTGACTGCCTTCAGTTACATACTGTTGGCAGCACTTCTTTCCAGGGATTGAAGATTTTGGAAGCCAAGAAAAAAATTAAAAGTGTTACATGAGTAGTAGTGATGAAAGTGAAGATGTGAGGGGCTTGTAATCAACAAAATGAAAGTAAATACAAAATGCTTTATGAGTGTTCCTAGGCAGGAACATAAAAGTAGTATTTGCTAAAGATTAATCTTGAAGGAGGTGATATTTCTGCCACCTTTTCGTTCTTCAGAAGGAAGAAATACAAAGGCAATTGAAAATATGAAACATGTATTATTTATACACCTAAAAAGGTCACTAGATCTCTAGCTTGCATACCATTCATCTATGCTGAATGAAGTTCTCCAGAAATTCCCAATTAGCCAAATAATTAAGGAGTCATACTATTCATCTGTGGGCAAAACACAAGTACATCTCCCAGTGCTGAATTCTTAGTCATTTGATTAAACAATGAAATAATATAACATTTTTTGGGTTTTATCTTGGTTTATGGATTTTTGTGCATGCGGGTTGTTTGTGATAAATACCCCATGCAACCATTTGTTCTGAAGTCCTCACATCTCAAGGACTGGTTTAGTTATGTTGTAAATACTTCTCATACTGAAGAAGTTTTCTTCAGTTTTCAGTTTTGTCTTTTATTGTGATAAAGATTAGTAAAATTTTTAGAATATATTTTATTTTGCCTGGTCCAAAAGTCTAG